ACTGTTAGATTTAGATGCAGCTGCTAGGTGGGAGCGAGACATGTTGATGGCTTTCCATCCAGAAAAATTTACAGTCCTTGCAATCTCACATCAGAAAAAAACACAGCTGAAACATGACTATATCCTCCACAATAACAAACTTTAACTGGTCTCTTTAGCTAAATATCTGGGCATTATACTACAAGCAAACTTAAAATGGTCAAAATATACAGACAATCCATACTGTCACTGTCACAGCAGTAGACAATTGCAGCTCGACGAAACATATCGCATATAAATATTCTTGTGAACACAGGTATAATATCCATCCGCAAAAAAGCACTCTTATAAAGACCGAAAGGATCAAGTTAAAACATCAGACTAGGAAATGAAGCAATACAAACTGACATTCAAACGACACATTTAGGAATCATATAGGATCATCAAAAAACGAATCAAGAATAAATATACAAGAACATATAAGTATTGCAAGAAAGACTCTGAACATATTCTTTAATTCCAGTTGGACTAACAGGAAAAGGAGGTCTTAATCTCAAAACAGCATACAAGAACAACTATAAATAATGAAAACTACACAAGAGCTTTATGACAAAAAATACCCCCCCCCCCCAAAAAAAAAAAAAAAAAAAAAAAATAGCCAAATCAATCTAAGCTCAACTTTGTCTGAGGGAGTTGAAACCTTAGTTTCTTTATAATTTAAAAATCTATAAACGGACAATTTTAGAAAGGTTTGTTATAAATCATGTCAGTACCGAGTACTGACTACTGAGCTGATGATACCCTCGGGGACTGATAGTATCAACCGTTCTTCCAAGTCTACTTTGTGGCCTGGAAATATTACCTCTACATCTAACAAAAGTAGAAGAATTAAGACAATTCCACATCAAAACTGTTAGACGCTTTCAACATCTTTCAATTAGAACTTTAACAGCTGTATTTGCGCTTATTGGCGCCATGCCAATTGAAGCAGAACTTCATAAGAGACAACTTAGCTTAATTCTATATTCCATCCTAGTACGTTATAATACTAAACTAAGAACTTTAATGTAGAGACAGCTGATTGTCAACTAAGAAAAAAAAACCAGAAAGTCTATTCCCAAAACTTCAAGAATCTGTACAATAATATAATATAATAAAATTGAGAATTGAAAATTGCCGATTCTAGAGCTGATAAAAAGCCTCCCAACAAAATTTCATCAGAAGAAATAATCAAACACAGTCATAACAGATAAATGGACAAGTAAGCTACAAGCCGAAATTAGAGAAAACACACACTTACATTCTGCAATAAAACAGAGTTCAAAATACATTGGACTCACCCGAAATGGAACTCCTTACCATCGGTTACATACGAGGTAAAACAACGCACAAATCAAAGGTAGATTAATCACTGGTACATACCTTTCAGAATGTGACATACAGAAATTCAAAAGGGATCAAGAAAGAATAAGCTGTACTCTGTGTCATCTGGAAATAGAAACTTTAGAACACTTTTTACTCAGATGCCCAGCTCTATACGAAAAAAGGCAAAAAAATTATTCCAGAGCTGAAAAATCTCATCATAGGATTCATCAAATGGGATGAAATATTCCAAGGGAATCAGAAATTAATTATAGACTGCACAACACTGTCTCAAGGGATGAACTTTAGTCCTGAGACAGTAATACAAATTAAAACCAGAGTAGAGATCTCTGCAATGGACTCCATATTCAAAGAATACTGACGCAAAAGAAGATTAAGACTGTATAAAGTGATGTTAACCCCCAATGGGCACAAAGTCTTCTGACTGTATTTTTATTTTCAATGTTACTAATTTTGATATTGAAACTACTTACAAGATAAGGGTTGATAATCCTTTTTCAGATCTTGGCCACACAATAAGGACGCTTTCAAGTTTAAACTCGCAGAAGTTGCTCTTTTTACAACTTATCATGATAATTTTATATTTTGAGTAAATTATTTATTGATAATTTATTATTCGAAAGAGCATCAATGCTTATTTTTTATTTCATGTTTATTTTCTTTTTTCAAAACTATGTTTAAGTTTATCCCAAGAATAACATCGGAAAGGAGTATTTGAGATTGATCAGTATCAATGAAAAATATAAAAGTAAATTAAATGCATTTAATACCACTGATGTAAAAAGTAAAATCACAAAAATACTGAACTCCGAGGAAAATTCAAAAAGGGAAAGTCCCTTATCAAATGGCAAAATCAAATGATAAAACACATCAAACGAATGGACAACAACTGTCATATTCCTGACTTGGTACAGGCATTTTCAAATGTGGAAAATGATGGATTGAACCTGGTTTTATAGCGTTAAACCTCTCACTTGTATGACAGTCGCATCAAATTCCATTATATTGACAACGATGCGTGAATAAAACAAACAGACATAATAGGTAAAAATGTAAAATAGGGGTACAGCATTCAACACCGTGTCACAATCTTAATCAATATTCTTAATTTTGAGCACACATTTACTTAGTCATTAAAGATTGTATTTAAGTGAAATTTAAAAATCTGGAATTTAAGATTGATACTATAAAGCAGAACAGCATACGTTTATACAGAACAGAAAGGCTAAAAACATTGATAGGATATGGAACTCCTTTTCGAGATATTTGATGTTTAAAAAATGGGGAGAAAAGTTTTCTTGGACTTTAACCTTATATTTAGCATTTGCATTAGTTGGGCTTCAAATCGTAAGAAAGGAAATCTAAAATCTGGTTTAATTTTGTCAAATAACTTTTATGACTTATTGAAGTCTTCTATGAAAAGAAAAGTTTCAAATATAAATTTTGATCCCAATATATTTAGTTCAATGTAGACATTAAAAAAAAATAAAAGTTTTTCTATTGTAGATGTGATGTTAAACTCAGTGCAAAAATACAAATCGAAGAAAACCTGTATTAACACCCTTTAAAGAAATATACTCTTTTACACATGTTAATTTGAAGAATAGAAGAGTTTGAATTTTGCCTGTATGTACTCTAATATTATATTTGCCTCTTTTTGTTGAAATTTATTGTCATGAATATGTTATATTAAAGTTTTGTCTTTTGCAATTCATAATTTTACTATAACAACTATTGCCAAAGACAAAATTTTAAAGTAACAAATATTTGATTTCATTTGTTTATTATGAAGCTATATACATGTAAAACATGCAAGAACGGTTCTTACATTTGTGAAATATTAAAGTTTGTTATAATATATATGTTGCTTATCATTGACTATTTACCTTGAAAGTTGTTTCTTCATTTATTGTGTTCATTGATGATTAATAGTTGCGTTAAAATGTGCACGTTTATTAAATCTGCAAATCATTAAAAATGAGTTAATTCATATGAATATGAGAATATCATGTATTTCCTTGATCATATATTAAAGATGATGATTTAAGCATAAAAAATATAGAGCCGATATGTCATACTTGAACATTAATAAAATTTGCCAATCAAACAATTACCGTAGTAAATATCATTTAAGGTGGTACCTAACACTACAGGGAGATAACTCTGTAAAAATCAGCTAAACGTTTTAATCACGTTCTATTGTTAAGGAAATATTAAGCTTCTCAATGATCAAAATTAGTGTTTGTCAAACTGCTATATAACCAATGAAATTTTTCTGATAAAGTGGTTGGTTCAAATTTTTTGAAATTTTTATATTTTTGTCAAAGGGTCAAAGTAAACATTTTGTCAAAATTTTATGAAAATTAAACGAGCCAAATTAATATTAGTCAAGGTGTTGGGTACCACCTTAAGTGTGTTTCCTATTATAAAGCACATGTATACTGAGAAAAAAAAGTTCAGCAGCATATACTTTTAATTTAATATATTTTAACAAACAAACTATACTTTTAAACATAACAAATAAATATAAGTTTACATTGTTTTTTGTTATAATATAAACTATTTTTATTGATTGTACAAAAAAGTGTTTCTTGTTTGGATATTTAGTTATTAATTTTGCGCGTTTGATAACAATAGTTTGAATAAATCGTCATGTCTCATGGTCCCCCAAAGGTGAAAAAAAGTGGAGACCTTATGCATGAAGTGGATGAAAATGTGTTTGTCCAACTGTGGTTTCCACCGGCCCCACCTGCCTGATAAGTATTGCACAGTCACTAACAATGACAAATAATTGCGCAAGAATTTTAAAAATATAGACCCTACCGGCAATGAACTGATATGGTTAAGGAATAATGAAGATGAGAAATTGTTATCAGAAATGGGAATATTCATTAAGAAATAAGAAAAGTTTTGATGGGATTAATCTCCCTCTTATCATTGGAAGTTTTTACTATGAAAAGGTGTACATTTCAAAAATCTAAATTATATGAAAAGGGTGGGGTAACAGAACACCAGCGGCACCACCAGTTCACAGGCACTTGTCTCAGAAAAAAAATTCCTATATACTTAATTTAACATTAAGGTATATAGGTAAAAAAAATTATTCTGAGACAAGTGCCTGTGGTCACCACCTACCAATTAAGTATTGAAGTGGCCCCTCCCCCGAGATATATCCCCTACCACTCAGTTTTCATTTTAAGTATATTTTCTGAATATTTAAAATAAAAAGTTTTTACCGTGTTACTACCGTGTAATACGAGTGCTCCGATGCGGAGGAATTTACGAAGAAAAGAAAGAAAGTATTGATAGACGAGGAAGAAGTTTTGGCCTTTAAAGACAAAGACATATAATATAATGTTCTTTGAAGAAACGAAACGAAAGCTATAGGCATTGCTGTTTTGTACTTTAGCAGAAAATTTAATCCGAATGGGATAAAGAATATATCGATTCCGATTAGTTATCTTCAATGTACTTTCTGACTCTAAAAATCGTGTCTTTAATGCTACGTTTAATGAAAACTATTTTGGATTTTCTATGAAAGTGTATGCAAATATAAACTTATCAATCGATATTTGCTGAAGTGAAAAATAAGGATTGTCGGAAATGAAATAATTTTAACCGGAAGTAAAATTACTCATGCTGAAAATTTTGACAACAGCAATGTTGACATACAGAAGCCTGTGGTAGGTACAATTTCCCCATTTAATGATAACAGTTACAGGTTAAACATTTCGAAATTTTGAAAGATCATACGTATGGTCATCCACATGGATTAGCAAATGCACATATATGCTTAAATATATAGCAAACCACATTAAAAACGTAGTCCAAATAATCATGAAGTCTGCTGAAGGCAATTTTTATCTGTTTGTAATTACCCTATTAACACAATAAAGCGTCAAAGCTAAAATATTCTTCCAAGAATCATAATTATTTGTACCTATAAGTTGACATTTACAGGAGAGAGTACAAGTAGCTTGATTTTAAACAGGAACATATATTATTTATGAGGGTCGTATTTTATGGGGGTACCTTCAAGACGAATAACGGTAAAAAATCTTGCCAAATGACGTTAACAGTAAGTTTTGGTACATGACGATAAAAAAATCGACTGATTTTGACAAATCACCAAAAATAACGTTAATGGAAATTATTTGAGACCTATGACGAATCATGATAACGATAGTTTGACGAATCACGGTAAAATTTTAACCAATTTGACGCTAACTGTAGCTGCAAATGACGTTTGACGCCTGATGGTAAAGGGCATTCCTACCCTCATATATTGACTGGACTTGACACTACTTAATTATAGCCAATCTTATGATCTTATCGTCGGGTCATAGTTAATAAATGACACGATACTGAAACGGACATGTGTAAAATAGGTACTCAATATTATCTTAATAATTTCTGATAATATCTATAAAATGGCATTCAACTAAGTAATAAGTGATGCCAGTGTATCGAACTCGTAATCTGTCACTTTGAATTTTTCATACTCGCATTTATTTCATCAGAGAAGGGTAAAGAATGTAAACGGGGTAATAAAAAAATGGCGCAGATGGCATTTTTTATGACAAAATAATTTTTATGATAAAAGTTGTCAATTCATTGTATTTGTTGAACATTTGGAATTATGTGGTTAATTTTATTTAGCAGTTCCAATAGTTTTTCAGTCAATATAAAAAAGATGATGTGGTATGATTGCCAATGAGACAACTCTCCACAAGTGACCAAATGACACAGAAATTAACAACTATAGGTCACCGTACAGCCTTCAACAATGAGCAAAGCCCATACCTCACAGTCAGCTATAAAAGGCCCCGAAATGACAATGTAAAACAATTCAAAAGAGAAAACTAACGGCCTAATTTATTTACAGAAAATGAACGAAAAACAAATATGTAACACGTTAACAAGTGACAACCACTGAATTACAGCCTATACAGGCTCCTGACTTGGGGCAGGCACATACATACAGAATGTGACGGGGTTAAACATGTTAACGGGATCCCAACCCTCCCCCTAACCTGGGACAGTGGTGTAACAGTTCAATATAAGAACGAACTATAAAAATCAGTTGAAAGAGGCTTAACTCATCAGATGGATAAAAATACAAATACTACAAATACAAGTGGACGTGGACGGGTACTTGTACATCCAAACAACAAAAAGACACTAAGTACAGATCTGAGAGTACTCGCAGTTACTGACAGCTAGTTCAAAGCCACTAACAACTAATAAAAAAAATCATGTACTGTAAATTCAGAAATTATTGCGTGCATTCATTATTGCGATTTTGTCATTTAAGACTAAAATGCGATTTTAATTTTTGCGATATTGAGAAAACTGTTTAATTCATATAGAAAATTCCAAATGCGAGTTTAAATTATTGCGATTATAACCCTGTCGCAGTTTTTGCAGTAATAAAAACATCGCAATATTTCTGAATTTACAGTATCTAAGACTGAATTATCAATCCGTACACATCCAACATCCAATGGATTTAGTGTAAAGACGTCATAAACAGTCAGAGAAAAACATGACCTTGTGCAATGCCAAGATACAGGTATCGACAGATTGCAGATCCATGAATGTGTATATATAGTTAACTCTCGTTGTCTCGAACTCGGTTGACTCGAAATTTCGGATGAGTCAAAGTTTTCTCGTGGTCCCGAAATTTGTTCCATATAAATATATGTATTTTGACTCCTGATGAGTCGAATTTTCGGTTGAGTCGAACCAAATTTACGGTCCCAAGGTTAACAAAAGCATTCAAAATTCATTATTTATCTCGAACTAATACACATATGTCAAAACATGACCTCCGGGATTTAAATGGATTGAAGAGTTAATCTGACAATACACGTGTAATTAAATTTCCAGTCACTGACCAAGGTATTGATTTATGACATTCTATTTCCACGAGTATTTACCTAAGATTATCTTTTATCACCATAATAAATAATTAGTGATGCATTGTTAAAGTTTATGAAAAATTATTTAAAATGTTTACAAAAAAAATTAATTAAATTAATCGTGATTTACACTGATGAGCTTGGATGTGTATAAAGTGGGGATTAAGACTTCCGTTGGTGATCATATAAAAACTACTCAATCGGCGTCTTTTATCTTTTTGTATTTTTTCTTTAAAAGAAAAATTGAGATAAAAGAAAATAAAAATAAATCTAAATTTCTAAAATCTCTTGTATCCGAGAATAAACAATTTTGTCAAATTTAAATGACTTAAATAACGCTAAGATCGATTGGAAATTACTCTCTCGGATAAAAGCCACAGGAAAAAATTGTAACTGTTCAAAGAAATAATTAAATAAGTGAAAACAATGTTATAATAATGAAAGACCATAACATACATATCCATCGATATGAGACCAGAATATCGATCCCCTTCCCATATTCATCCGGATTTATTTTAGCTTTACCAAGGTAAGCAAGAGTTGTGTCCCTTGGTCTGTCAAACTTCCGGTTTTTGTTTGAGTCGAACTACGGGTATCTCGAAATATTTCTCTGTTCCGGCTGACTTCGAGATAACGAGAGTCGACTGTATATATAACAATAATATTTAGTTTGCTTTTAATTTACTGATAACAAAATCAATATAAGTACCAATAAAAACAATATTTAATGATCTAATTATAGTGTTGAATTGGTAACCTTTTAGAATAAGTTTATTTAAAGAATTGATAAGTTTACCAGGATCGTTTCTAAATTTCCAGGCATGGTAAACAATATTGCCGTAAAAATGAGGATGTGCAATCCCGTTTGAATTAAGTTTTCTACAGGTACAACCAAACTTCAAAACCAAATCTTTATATCTGTGGAAGAATTTAGTAAAGGTTTTAAGTAATTTGTGGTAACGAAATCCCTGGCTTAATAATTTACCAGTAATACATAGATTACGTTCGTTAAAATCAAAAACGTCACAACAGTCACGGGCATAGCGAACGAAAGGAACATCACCATCCAGACCTTTTCCAAAATCCATAAATCTTGAGAAGTCTCGTAAAGTTCTTGATGTTATCAATTTTATGCTGAAAAGAAAAGCCTATCAGATTCATTTCCTGTTAGATATACTGTTCCCAGTTTTAAATTAGCATCCCTAAGAATAGTAAGCATATAGAAGAAAATGATAAAAATAGAAAGAAACCTACATGCTAATAACTTATAATGATATGTTGCTCTGGTGTACCAGGCTGTTTCCATGAACAGTTCAGGTAATTAGGAGAATTGCTAATGTCATATGATTGTAATCTGTGACTGGGTCATAAAAATACAGGCGTATTTATCATAATACAATTTACTGGTGTTTATACTGTGCAACAATTTCTGTCACAAAATTATAAAGAACTTTGTCTTACTGCAGTGGAAAATTACCAAGAAATGACAAAGTAAGAAGGGTTTAAAAAAAAATAAGAATGCAATTTCTAATCAACACCACCTTGCTTTAAATCTTTGTACTTGTTGCCAGACCCCACTGGTGACAATTGTGTTACTCCAGTCCTGCGATTATGAAAAAGAGACAGTGGCGTAGCTACCATTGACGCAACGACGCACTTGCGTGCACAAACGAAATGGCAAAAAAAAAAATCATAAAAAATCATAACAGTCAAAAAAAGACGCTGACATCCATGCTTCAGGGCGTTTCTTGTGATTTGGTGGAAGCGGTAAATGAATGTCAAACTCTCATCCGTGTTTTTGAAAATGAGAGACACGACATTGAGGTATTCAATTGTCTGTACGACGAAGCCTTTGTGTTAGCCGATCATTTTGAAATCGTTCCTTCGAAACCAAGAACTACCAGTCGTCAACGTAATCGGGCAAATCTAGCTGTTGTCGGTATTCAGAATTATTGGCACGTCACACTGTATATACAATTTTTAGACCATCTTCTAAACGAACTATGAGATCGTCTTGTCAATTCGGAAGAACGTTTTCTTGCCCAGATGTTTCTTCCAAACAATCTGAAAAGTTTGAATCGGGATCATCAAATTCGTATATTTCGCGCCTACGAGTCCGATCTTCAATCAGAAGATCAGTTTCTTCTCGTATATAAAAGGTGGGTTGCGCGATGGAATATTTATCCATCTAAGAAACCAGACCAACTCTGTGCAACATTGGAGATGAAGCCGAAAGAACTTTACCCAAATATATTCTGTATTCTACAAATACCTCTCGCCATGCCACCCTTAACCGCTACTGCTGAACGGTCTTTCAGCACTCTGAAACGCGTAAAAACGTATCTGAGATCGACCATGGGACAAGAAAGACTTTCTTTACTTGCACTGCTGCACGTTCATTCTGATTTTGACATTGACACTAAAGAAGTTGTTGACACGTTTAACAATGCTAGGCAAAGGAAAATATTACTCTCCTAAAGGACCTCGGTTGTTAACTTCAGTCTTACATGTATATACGAACATCACATTCATATATCACCAAATTAAAAATTGATTGTTTGAATTGCTTTGTTTTCGTATGTTAACATATATATGTCATGAGATGATCCAGTTCCTCGGTTGTTAACTTCAGTCTTATATACGAACATCACATTCATATATCACCAAATTAAAAATTGATTGTTTGAATTGCTTTGTTTTCGTATGTTAACATATATATGTCATGAGATGATCCAGTTCTCTAGCCCTTTCTTTCTCTGAAG